TAAAAAATAACCTTTAAAGGTTTAACACTATAAACCCCCAGCAATGAGATCAGTCATGGCAGGAACCCAAAGAGCTCTTCCTGGAAAATGCTGCTGCACAATCACTGTGAGTAAACAGCCACCGGAGGAAGAAGTTAGTTAAACTCCTACCTGCCACCTCATTTCCATTTAAATATCAGAGCTCTGCAATTTGATTTCTATAGTTTGAAAGATGCTTTGGTTCTTTGGTAGGACAAGCCATTTACAATGCCCGTTTTATTCTTAGAGGCCTGTTGGTGGTTGGAAACCCTTTGTTTCCCCACACAGTCAATTTGAACTGGGTTGACAAGCTTACAGCTCCATACTGAGGTAGGAAAATGCCACCATTGTCTGGAAGCTGACTGGCTTGCTTCTTTGGGGCCCACAGGCAGGGCATGCTTTAAATCATGAAAAAGATAGCTTAAAAACCACAGGAGCTGTGAGCAACAGAGCAGGCTCCCCACTTCCCACTGCCCCTGTGTTGATCTCAAACAGCCTGGGCTAAGGAGGTAGCCTCATGGTGTTTTCCTAATGAAATCTAATAACTGGAGCATGGATGATGGAAATCTTTGTGTTGGCAACTAGAAACTCTACAAGGGTGAAAATAAAAGCAAGCAGCGGAAACCCGAGAGAAACCTACGACAATGGAGAAGGTGGGCATAAAATGGGGCAGAACCCCTCAAAAGAGCACTGATTTCCAAAAGGAGGTATCATTAAATCTTGTTTGCCTTTCCCCACTTGGCCTACGCAAAGAACTACTATCTTCAAAACCCTATTCAAGTGTCACCTCTACAAACCCTTCTCTGACACCTTCCTCTGAACACACCAGGTGCCTTCTACTACTGCATGTATCACAGTACACTGATTAAATGACATTCATGTTTGCCTGGCACATAGAAGATGACCAGCAAACACTTTCTGAACTGAACTTGGCCTCTCCTTGATAGACCCCCAAAGCTGGAAGTTTGTGAAAATGCTCTTCTAGGAATTCCCATGGCATTTGAACAACCTGGAGTGAATAGGGGATTTAAAAAGAAATTAGCCATTAGGACCATAACAAAATGTACAAATATCAACTCTCAGGCAACTAATCCAAGCAAAATTCTGAAGCTTGCCTGGGCAAGAGAATTGTCCTAACAAGAAAGAAAAGACCAGAGAACAAGTTTACATCTTTATGTTTACATCTAAAATAAAGGACTAAAGCATACTAAGGAGTTGCCTTAGAGATAGCACCCAAACAGAGACCTGTAAATGCTATTAGCATGCAAACTTTAAAAAGAAAGAACACCTTATCCACCTTACTTATGAAGACAATATGAGTGGATGGAGTGGATGCAGAATCAATTAAGCCAAGGTGAGAGAACTTGATAAAGCAATGCTGTTCATCTTTTCAAAGTATATTTTTCACAAAATGCCTCTTCCTAAAAATATAACTTGAGCCCACAATGCCTAAGTTTCAGTAAAAATTAGTGACATGACTTAATAAAAACTCAGCAGATCTCATTTTCTTCTCATCTGTAAGATCAAAGCCTTCTGAGTTATCATCTTCATGTCTCTAGATAATGCAACAGCATCTACATACAGGCATCTACATTTCCATGTGGACAAATGTAAGTGAATATTTCTTTTGGTGTGCCTTTGACTTAGGAACACACTGAATAACAATGTGGCTTGGAAATGCAGACCCCTAGTTAAAGCTGCCTATATACTTTGCCAAAGTGGTCATGCCTACACATTTTATATTCTTACAGGTCTTAGTTCCCATCTCTAAAAATACAGTGATGACATTTCCCCCTGACCTCTACCTACTGCAAGGAGGACAGAGGAGATGGGGTGATGATGCTCATTAAAGCCATGAACATCTTGAAAGACAGAACACACACTCACTATAGCTACTGGGTTAGAAACCCTGACACTGCTTGGACTTTAAAAATTGAGTCTTCTAGGGGATGAAGTTCCCTGTCACCAGGCTGTTGTATAACTTCAAACAGCAAACGTGTCCAACAAAAGAGGAAAGGCCTGGACAAATAAACACAATTCACTAAGAAGAGCTCCTCACCCCACTGGGCATAATGGTGTACATCTGTGATCCCAGCAACTTGAGAGGCTGAGGCAGGAGGATTGCCAGTTAAGGCCAGCCTCAGCAACTTAGGTATCCTCATCCCCAGTACTGTAACACCTACTTGAAAAACAGTCGATTAATTCTCTCCTTCTTCTACAGTAACTGATGAGAAATGCTGTGACTACAAAGTTCCAGAAAAATATTTCAGAGGGGCTGGGATTGTGGCTCAGCGGTAGAGTGTTCACCTAGCACGTGCAAGGCCCTAGGTTCAATCTTCAGCACCATATAAAAATAAATAAAGTAAAGGTCTTGTATCCAACTACAACTAAAAAACAAATATTTAAAAAGTAAAAAATAAAAAAAAAATATTTCAGAAAAATGCTTGGAGGAGGGAGTGGAGGCAACATCTAGATCCCTACCTCTCACATCCCTGCGGTGGCCTAGGGGCTAATACACGGGCATTCTGTTTGCAAGTTCATCACAAAGGCCATCTGCCTATTTTCCTGAAGAAAACTGGTAAAGTGATAATTTACCAATTTGCCAAACTATATCCTGAATCTAATTTAGGGCTGATGTTAGCAATTTCTCATTGACTATGAGAATTTTAACAAGCAAAAGAATGAAAGAAAAAAGAAAAGAGAGCCAACAACTTCAAATTGACAATGTATTCATCCATTATTTAACTAAAAATTGGAAATGTGGAAAAAGTATTTTGCCAAAATGATAGGGTAGATCTCATTTTCTGTGTCCTCTTATTTCATTATTCATTTGTTGAATGAGAAAGTGTCAATTACTTATTCAGTAAATATTTATTGAATCCCTACTTTACACCAAGTATTATGCTTGCCCTGGAGCTACAAACATAATCCCTGTTCTCAAAAAGTCTAATAAAGAAAAGGAAGGGAACAGAAGGAAGATAATTAAATTAAATAAGCTCCTACTCTGTGTCTGGTGTTTTTCTTAACAAATTCTCCTAAGAACCAATGAAAGGAGGTGGATGAAACTCTCTCCACTTAGGGAATGTGAACTGAGGCACAATGACTTGCATGGAGTCACACAGTTTTATAATTGACTGGTAATTTGCATTCAATTTGGTCTAATTCCAAAACATCTTTAGAAAGACAGACACAAAGAAAAAAAAAAAAGATACCCATTATCCCGCCACCCTGATGCAGAAACTCTTAATATTTCAATGAATTTCTTTCCAATTTTTTTTCTACACATAGGTCAATCTTTAAGTTTTTAAAAATTTATTTCACAGTTATAATCAAAGCACATTACACTGCATTTCATTGGAACTGTGACACCATGGACTGTGAAATGCTCCATTATTCTATATTGCAAAAGAAAGAAAAATCACTACCAATTATATGATGCCACTGATTGTGAGGTGTGTCCAGATTTCAGCAGTGCGAAAATGTGAAAGCCAAAAAGCATGTCTTAGAGTCAGTGACCCGTTCGGGAATCTACAGAGCCCACATCCATGCTGCCCACCTTCTGCCTGGAGTGGGGCAGGAAGCAGGCTCTGTTTACCATTCTTACAGATATCTTGCCTTGTGCATAGCAGGTACTCAAAGAAATACTTCTTGGACAAAGAAGTATACGACTAAAGCTTGAAATGAAATGTTTAGAAAAAAGGTTAAAAACTATCATAGGCCTGAGGAATGTTGAAAGTCTAAGTTGTACTGGGGAACTATGGATTTATGGGGCTACACTGGAGAAGTGGGGAAAGGGAGAGATGGATGGAACTCTGCACCAGGGCCCAAGGACCTGGCTTTTCAATGACTTTTCTTCCCACAGGTGGCCACTGTCTTTACATTGCCTCCTCTTTATTGCTTAGGCTTCTACTTTGGGATGCTTATCCAAGTTTAGCTCTACAATTTGGCTTGCTTCTGCCATCTTGGGAAATCACTCTTTCAAACTCAGTCTGAACACTGATTCAGGTTGGTTCGAGGATCCATTAATTTCAAGTAATAATGAAAATGGAGCAAATTCAGGAAATAGCCAGTGTCTTTTCTGCTTATATCGAAGGTCTGACTGCTCCAAGAACTAACAGATATTGATAGTCTGAGGCTATACAATGGAGCATTTCAGCATTCTAAGCAAGTTCACTAGAATATGTGCCTGAATTGACAAAATGGGTTTAAATTAAAAAAAAAAAAAAAAAAATTAAGCCAGACTTCTTTCTCCATGCACGCTCCTCATCGAGATCAGCCCACTTGAAAACACTGTGATTTCCTAAATCCTTACTCCTTTTCTTTCTTCACGAACCTAACACCTATCTGTGTCTTCTCTTTATCTGTGTGTCTCCCCAAGAGATATGACAATGGTCCGGAAATTCTGCCCTCAGAATTTTACTCATAGATAAGTAAATTACAACAAAGAGTGAAGAGAAGTTCTAGTAGACAGATGCAGATGAGCTGCCATCAGTTCAGAACCAGAAGAAATTAAATCAGCTGTGGGACAAGAAAAGGCTTCAGGGAGGAGGTGTCATTTCATCTGGGCTTGAAGGATGAGAGGATCTGGCTTAATGGGGCTGAGGACAAAGACCCAGCAGAGAAGGCAGGTGTGGCACCGACTCCCATGGTCTTCTTTCACATGGGCTGTTTATTATTTAGGAACAGACGCAGTTGCCTGAGTCTGTGCTTGAGTGCTGGGTCCAGGCAACAGCGTCCTCTTCCAGTTTGCCCTGGGCTGACCAGTGTAGGGTGTCATAAGTTATGTCATCTTAGAGTTGAAGCCAGGGAAATAATATAAGATTTCACGCCTATTAAGTGTGAAATTTTAGAGGAAAATTCTAAAAGCTTAAGTCTGATGTATAACAATATCTGAAACCTGTAACTGGTAACTAAGACACTTGATTAAAAGCAAGAGCACAACAGCACTTTTCAGTACTTAGAGGATTGCTGCTCCCGCTTACCATGGACGTGGATACCATTTGGTTGAAAAGAAGAGTTCGTCTCTGGCTGATAGGACTTCAGGTGTGAACCTGATGGTTGCTGGGTGTGGGGAGGCTGTGTTCTCTGCAGTATTGAGGAAGGAGCCGGAACTCTCCGGGGGCTGATGTGGTGAGGAGATGGAGCAGAAGGTACAAACCTGAGAAAACAATTATAAAGGGCAACATGAAGGACACAAAATAGCAAAGGCAGACAAACCTGCCAAAGCCAAGTCTGACCCCGGCTCTGGCCCTGCACAAGTGTAACAACCAGCCCTTTAAACCAACCTTCAGGACTCTTCTCTCTCCCCTTTAGCCACTGAGTTCTTAATTGAGATATTGAGGGAATAAAAGATACCAACAAAGAAAAACCTAGTCACAGTTTAGGTTTGTCAAGCTTCTTAAGCTGCGTTTCAAATACCCTGGGTTTGGTGAAATGCAAAGCACATCTTTTGCCAGGCCCTCTTTCTGCTAATTTTTAAATCCTCTTGCCTAATTTTAGGGATCTTTGGGGGAAATTTGATCCTTATGTTTCTGAATCATTTACACTTAGCTCATAAACATTTTGTTTTGTAAGACATATCTGAGGTCCAAGAAGTGTTACAAGTCTTTATTATGACCCTCTCTGATCCTATTCTCTTTAAACAATACATTTTCTTTTGCCAAAAATAAATTAACTTAAACCTCAAAGGTCAAGTATGATTTGAAACCCAGAACTCAAGAGGTATACATGAGTTCTGTGCTTGGCAAAAAACATTCCTGAGGTTGTAGCAGAAACACCATGTAGGACATCTTTTGTAGTAACGTGTGCCAATCACAAGACTGTTGGCTTTGGGGAGGAGTTGTAATGGTGTTTAAATGAGGTGAAATCTCCACATAACCAGGGATTTAAAAAAATGGATGAGTACAGACTGATCTTCCAATTTTAAGGGACAATTGATAAGATCTGACTCACTAGGTTTAAAATGACAGTGTATTTTTTCCTAACATTGAAGGAAGGTACACTTGTGAAAATAATGTTAAAGTTGGGCAATGTCCATAGAAAACTGAAATGATCAACTTGCCAGTTTGGTAGGGGACTGGCACAAGCATGGGGAAGAAAGGAGAGAGTCTGTTAATGCAGTGAAATACAGCCGCAAAATTATTTTGGGAAAAACTATACTAGCAATGAGTTGTTTAGTCTCCATCTCCAAAAAATAAAATAAAAAAAGTCCATTAAGCTGAAAACTTTTAATCATCTCTTTTTTGTACAGGCTTTGTTTTTTCACTAACACATATAAGTCACCATCTGTTTATATCACTTATTTCACAGGAACAAATAAATCCACTTGGTTGGGCTTTTGTGTAGTGCCATAGATGATAAAAAAGGAAGATGAACAAGTATATAAAGTAACTTGAACCTTCTGAACCGGAATATCTAATAAGACATTTGTATTGCAGCAGTAAGAAAGCATGGGACAAAATGCCAGGTTCTTTTTGCCTTTCCCCAGAGAGATGTGATGAGTCTATGTTAAAAAGAGCGATGTAGAAACCAAAAGCAGAGATGTGGACTCATTAACCTCGGGAACAAAGGAGTCAGGGGAGGCTCAAGTAAACCAGCTGAGGTAGGAAGCCTGCTAATCCATCATTTAGGTTTTCACTCTACCAAAAGAGAATAGTCACCGAGTATCCTGTGCTGTGTAAATATCAATTTTTCTAGGCATATCATCTTAATTGGAATTACCCTGAAAAGATGTGTGGAATGGTCCCGAGAGAAAAAAGACAGCAAACCAATTCTGACACTGCCTGAGAACATCCAGCAAACCGCACAGGCCTGGATTTCTTATATGGAGGCTATTTTCAGGGTCCTGAGTGTGTTCACACGTCGATCTACAGTTGTGGGAGAGGAAGGATAGACTGTGGAATCAAGACTTTAGGGGCAGAGGGAGTCTACATTACTACTCAATCCTGGAATCTCCTGGTCCTTCAAGATCCCCAGGGATGGAGAGGGGGATGATTTGAATTGCAAGACAACCTATGTCACTATCAAATTGTCATCTTTGATGTCTCAATTTTGTTTTTTTTGGGAAAGGGAGAAAGAGCTTCTGATTGGCTTTCTAGTCTTATTTCCTCATTTTAGAATAAAAGCAGCAAGGCACAGAGGGTTTTTTTTTTTTTTTTTTTTTTTTGCCTTTTCTTCTGCTACTCTCTTCATGTTGAGGACCGATGGAGCAGACAGATGTGTGGACAGGCACGTCAGCAGGCTTTGGGAAACACGACCTGCCATCATCTGTCTGATGCAGGAGAACAGTTTTGTTTCACAACCCCCCATACCCATAGCACAATAAGACTGACTCACAAACATGGGTTTGTTTAACAGAGTAGAAAATATGGACAAAGAAGAGAAAGGAGGCAAAGATTCTCACAATATAAAAATCTATAAAATATTATACTTTCAGGATTTTGGGAATTTTATGGACAAAGGGTAAATTAGGATTAGTAGCTATAAAAAGCAGAAATACTTAGCCAACCAAAAGAATAGAATCCATCTCAACATTTTAGGAATCATTTACAATGTATGTTCCATATTTACATGTAGATTATATATGTGTGTGTGTTTATGATTTTATATAATTACATACTTATTACAAATTATTCTTACCTATTCATTCATATAGGTTCCAAAAACTGGCCATTATGTCTTATTGACCAAATGTTACTCAACCAAATGACAACACTGAGTACAGGGGAAAATGTGGTTAGGTACACAATAAGGTTTTAACACTGCTATTGCAGAGAACTGGGAAATAAAATATTATGTCTTCCATTGATTCTACATGTTGCCTTTTGCAATTCAGACTGGATTTTCCTGTTTTTCAAACAAATGAGATTATATGATACAAAGTTAACATAATTTCAAGATATAGTGTAGCCTCGAATAACGTATTAATGAAATTTCAACATAAGGTATTCTCAGTGAAATAAATGTACACATAAAGGAGGCTTTGGTTTGGAAAAAAATTAAGTACACAAATTTTAACTTCTACATCTACAGAGAAATGAAGTGTGACAAGAAGTGATCACTGTTTTTCAGAGAATTTTGTTAGGAACCAGGAAGTATGAATGTGACTTCTTCACTAATAAGTCCAGCATCAAAAGAGAGTGCATATAAATAGGACAGATTTGAAGCACAGCAGATAAAATCAATTTTGTTAATGCCTAAAACGCTATGTGGTATTTTACTGAAAAACTCTCATGACCTATTAATTTAATTTTCATAAACTTGGTTACTTGTTTACTTGCTCATGTTAAAGCAGAAACAGTAAATTAAAATGTGAGGTAGGAGATACAATAAGAAAGCAGGTGAAACCCAGTCCTATTGCTAGAGGCCAGGCCCCTGGGAACATCTAAAAAGAATCACAGACCACTCTTAGCAAGAGAGCTGTCAGAAAAGTGACTTCAAAAGCCAAAAGAACTTAAGACACTGGGTAGTTTTAGGCCATTTAATGCAAAAGCAAAACACAAACATGCAGAAGCTCACTAAATGCTAACTTTTGTCACTGTGGTTCAAGGCAGCGGGGCCTCAGAACCCCACTTTCTAAGTGTCTGTACCGACTTTCCAACCTTGTATCTTCAACACATACCCAAATTCTTATGCTCTGAATATTCTCCTTCAAAATAGCTAAGGGAGGGCTTGTTTTTTAATGAAAAGAAGGTTGAATTAATTTTTGATGCCAAAATAAATTTAAAAATTTAATACAAGGATCGACTAAATTATTTCCAGTTTTTCCTCTATGGAATATCTCCTTCCCCAATGACATCAGGCCAAGGTGACATCACTCTAATTCATTCTTAGAGACAGAGTGTCCAAGAGCAGGAGAAAGGCCTTCTGAAATCATTTCTAGGTCCAGCCCTGTCTACCAGCTGTGGATCTGCAGTGGACATTTCAAAGATTTCCTTCCACAGAGTTTATTATTCTCTTCTTGAGCCTTTTACAGGTCCCTAAAATACATGATTGCTGTGTACAGAGGCACAACAGACTAGAGGAAAACATCACTGCTTACCAGAAACAGATCACACAAAAGCAAACCAGAGAACTGACTCAACCATTTCCACTCACTTGGTGGGGGAGTTTATAACCTTAGCATGAGCAATGGTTTGCCAAGAAGAAAGGCGGGTGGCAGTGGTGGGGCAGGGAATGGGGGGGTTGGTGATGGTAGGGAAGCAGGTTTGAAATGCTCATTTAAAAAAAAAAAACAACTCTTGGGTAGAAGTATTTGAAAGGTTTCTACAAATATTTTTATCTGTGCGTCTCAAAAAATGGCTCAATGCTTTGGAGATTTACTTGGCTATGCTCCCTACTATGCCTTGCTCCCCTGCTTTCCCTGTGCCCCCCCCCTCTGCTATCCAGCTCCCCAATTTTGCAGTGGGGTGGGGTCACAATCAAAGTGGTTATCCTTCCTTGAAATGCAGAGCTTAATTCCAGACTATTTCACAGAACAGTAAGTTCCAGCTGAGATGAATATACCACTAAGGTTCACATGCAGAAGAAGTGCCAATGACAGAAGGGCCAGAAGTCAGGCCCACCTGGCTTGGATCGAGGCTCTGTCATTTACTAGCTAGGCAATCTTGGGTAAATCCCTTTACTCCTTAGAGCCTCGATTTCAAGTGTAAATATAAAGATATCCCAACTCTCACTGGGGATCGTAAAGTGTGAGATAATATTTATTAATTCATTTAAGAGATATGTACTGAGCATGGCTCTTGGCACTAAGGATCTAGCAACCAAGAACACATATGCCCACCATTGTGGCACTTATATTTTAGTGACAGAGCAATGAACACATTTAAGTAAGTTAACTATGTATTGGACTTGAGGAAATGAGTAATGTGAAAAAAAGTAAAGAAAATAGGTAATGTGAGTTAAGGGGTAGGGTGGATTATGAAGACTTGGAATTGGGAAGTCAGGGATATCAAAGTACATAAGACAATGAATGTCTGATAACTTTTGGGTGATCAAATACAAATTTATGGAATAATTGATCTAAATAGAGTGCACATTTAGGGGATCACTGATATTAACCTGTGCAGTGCTTGACGGTGGTTCAGCACTGTATTAGAACATCTACAGAGTTCTTAAAATAAAAAAATTCTTAGGATTCTTTTTCTCCCAGGACTATTC